GCGGGCGTCCTCAGAGGCTTTGCTCCCCTTCTCTTCAGCAGACCAGGGAGACGCGGAGCAAACCCCGTTCGTAACTGCGGATCTGACGTAAGTCGGATCCACATGACTCGGGGACTGCCTGTATTTCTAACACTGAAGTTCTAAGGCAAAGATCTGTCACAATATAAGTTTTTAACAGACCCGCTTGGGCAAGTTACTTCACTTCTTTGGCTTTATCTGCGTTAGAGCTAGGGGTGTGATTCCCAGCTCGTGCAGACATACTTGTGCCAGTTCTCATCAAGCCAGCACACTAAAAAGAGTAATAGAGCTGCAGCAGCATGCAGAGTGGCAGTAGGAAACTGAGCCAGTTGCCCTGAGTACAAACCTGCCTGAACCCTGGGGTGCATATTTGAGGTAGTTAGTCTATGCCACCACCCCTGTGCTACCACAGCTACACTACTGCTATTCATGCACTAGCTCGATGACGGCTAATACAAGTATTTCTGCAGCAGCTGGGAATCCCACCCTGAAGCTTCTACCATAGAAATAGCCTCTGATTTTGTGAGGCATTTTCAGATCTTTAGATGAAAATTGCTATAAGAGATGATGATTTAGAAAGCTCTGTGGCTTGTGGCTGCCTGCTGACTTGTTTGTTATTTTGGTCCTCCTCTCCTCTGGTCTTGAGGAGAATTTAGAATATGGGCTGTCAATAGAAGATGAGAACTTAGTGTTAAATCATCATGAATTCTGTGTGTGTTTTAAATCATACACTATGGTCACTGCCATTAAAGAGTCCTGCTTCCTCACCAGGCATTATTTTAATACTTAGAGTGACCAGATAGAAAGTGTGAAAATTCTGGACAGTGGTTCCGGAGGAGGGGGGGTAGGCACTATATAAATAAAAATCACAAATATCAGTACAGGCAGTCCCCGACTTACGCGGATCCGACTTATGTCGGATCCGCAGTTACGAACGGGGCTGCCCCGGAGTACACGGGCGAGAAAAGCTGCTCCGCGTCTCCCTGGTCTGCAGACCAGGAAGACGCAGAGCAAAGCCGCTGCCCTCC